AAAAAAAAAAAAAAAAAAATAGCCCAGCATAGTGGCACATTTTGAGCCAAGAAGTTGATGTCAAGGCAGCAATGAGATATGACTGTACTACTGCACCCCAGCCAGGGCGACAGAGTGAGACTCTGACTCAAAAAAAAAAAAAAGGTCAAGCATGGTGGCTCAAGCCTCTAATCCTAGCACTTTGAGAGGCCGAGGTGAGGGAACTACCTAAGCCCAAGGATTTGAGACCAGCCTGGGCAACTTGGTGAGACCTCATCTCTACAATAAATCAAAAAATTAGCCAGGCGTGGTGGTACATGCCTGTAGTTCCAGCTACTTGGAAGACTGAGCCGGAAGGACCACCTGAGCCCAGCAGGTTGACACCTGAGTGGCTGTGAGAGTGCCACTGCACTCCAGCCTGGGCGATGAAGTGAGACTCCAACTCAAGAAAAAAAAAAACCCAAGGTCCTAATAAATTATCTAGGTTCACTGACCTCACAAAGTTTAAAACAGCAAGACAAAAAATATTAGTCTGAGGTATCTGATTACTGGTACCAATAGCCTAAAGAGCCTAACCTAAGTCATCAATGGCAGTTGAGCAAGAGCAGAATGTAAACTTGCCAGTACTTTTACTATACTTCCTCAAGCTGCACTAGTATAAAAAGGGATTCAGACTTCATTCCACATGATGAAGAGTCAGAAAATACCTCATCAAATTCTTCCTCCAGCATGCTATGGTTAAACAAATGAAGTCTATGATTCTTTTTTCTTTTTTTGCTGATACATATTTTTAAAGGAAAAGTACTTTCTAACTAGTCTCCCTAGTCTACAATACAGTTTTAAAAAATCTGATATCCTGGCCGGGCATGGTGACTCAGTCTGTAATCCCAGCATTTTGGGAGATAGAGGCAAGAGGCTTGGCTGAGCCCGTGGGTTTGAGACCAGCCTGGGCAACTTGGTAAGACCTCGTCTTTACAATAAATTACAAAAAACTAGCTGGACGTGGTAGTGTGCGTCTATAGTTCCAGCTACTTGGAAGGCTGAGGTGGAAGGATCGCCTAAGTCCATCAGGTGGAGGCTGCAGTGGCTGTGAGCGTGCCACTGCACTCCAGCCTGGGCAACAAGAATGACACTCCAACTCCATAAAAATAAAAAAACCTGATATCCTAACATGTATGTCTCATTTTGAAATTAAGAGTCAATAAGGGCCAGGCGCAATGGCTCACACCTATAATCCCAGCACTTTTGGAGGCTGAGGTGAGAGGATTGCCTGAGCCCGTGGGTTTGAGACCAGCCTGGGCAACGTGGAGAGACCTCATCTCAGTAATAAATCAAAAATTAGTCTGGCGTGGTAGCATGAGCCTGTAGTTCTAACTACTTGGAAGGCTGAAGTGGAAAGATTGCTGGAGTCCAGCAGGTCGAGGCTGAGGTGGCTATGAGCATGCCACTGCACTTAGCCTGGGTGATAGAGTGAGATTCCAACTCAAAAAAATAACGAGTCAATAAGAAAATAGGGTCAGGTGTGGTGGAGTGTGCCTGAATCCCAGCTACCTGGAAGGCTGAGGCAGGAAAATTGCTTGGGCCCAGGAGTTCTGGCACACTATTACCACATAGCCACTATTTTCAAGCCTGGGCAACACAGTGACACCCTGTCTCTTAATAAAAAACAAAAATAGGGTTCAGTACACAGTAAATTACTGTGTAGTCTAAAAGGCAGATATCAAACCTTTGTGTATCCAGATTTATATTCCATTAGTCATGTTGCTAGATAAAATATACCAAGCAAAACATAATTAGGAATATTACACATATCTGTTACTAAGTTACCTTTCATTGGCCAAGTATCTTTTTTTTTTTTTTTTTTTGAGTTGGAGTCTCACTCTGTCACCCAGCCTCGACCTGCTGGACTCCGAGATCCTTCTGCCTCAGCCTTCCAAGTAGCTGGAACTACAGGCGCGTGCTACCACACCCAGCTAATTTTTTTATTTATTTATTGTAGAGATGAGGTCTCACCAAGTTGTCCAGGTGGGTCTCGAACCCACAGGCTCAGGCAATGCACTCACCTCAACCTCCCAAAGCACAGGATTACAGGTTGAGCCACCGAGCCCGGCTCATTGGCCAAGTATTAATGAAACACTACAAAGAACATTTGTTTCTGAAATAATAGCAGACCTACATTTCCAACCAAAATAGAAGTATACACAAGTTACTGGGTGATCAAGATCAACTTAAAATTTCTCATTTTAACTTGCCAAATGATTCTTCATTTTATTTAGGGTAACTAACATTCTAGAGCAGTGGGTCTCAAAGCATGGTCTAAGGACCTCTGGGGATACCTGACACTCTTTCAAAAGGTCTGTATGGTTAGGACTATATTTTTATTTTTTATTTATTTTTATTTTATTTTAATTTTTGAGTCAGAGTCTCACTCTGTCACCCAGGTTGGAGTGCAGCGACATGCTCATGGCTACCGCTGCCTCGACCTGCTGGGCTCAGGTGATTCTTCCACCTCAGTCTTCCAAGTAGCTGGAATCACAGGCGTGCGTCACCACACCCAGCTCATTTTATGACTTACTATAGAGATGAGGTCTTGCCATGCTGCTCAGGTTGGTCTTGGACCCCAGAGCTGAGGCAATCCTCTCGCAACTGCCTCCCAAAGTGCTGGGATTACAGGCATGAACCACCACACCTGGCTAGGTTAGGATTATATTTTTAAACAATTTCCCCACTACTACCGAAGTCTCACTCTGTTGTCCAGGCTGGAGTGCACTGCACGCTCACAGCCACCGCAGCCTCAAACTGCTAGGTTTAGGTGATCCTTCCACTTCAGTCTTCCAAGTAGCTGGAAGTACAGGAGCACACCACCTTGCCAGGCTAATTTTTTTGATTTATTATAGATATGAGGTCTCGTCAAGTTGCCCAAGCTGGTCTCAAATCCCTGGGATCAGGCAATTCTCTCACTTCTACCTCCCAAAGTGCTGGGATTATAGGCGTGAGCCACCATGCCCAGCATTTTTAAACAATTTTTTAAAGTGATACATAATAGATGTGCAGAGCTTTGGAGTATATATGATAATTTAATACATTCATAACTTGTAAAGATCAAGTCAACGTACTTGAGATATTCATCTTCTTAAATATTTGCCTTCTCTTTTATGCTAGAAATATTCAAATTATTCTCTTCTAGCTATTTTGACATATATAATAGAACTTTTTTTTTTTTTTGAGTTGGAGTCTCACTCTGCTGTGCAGGCTAGAGTGCAGTGGCATGCTCATGGCCACTGCAGCCTTGACGTGCTGAGCTCAGGTGATCCTTCTGCCTCAGCCTTCCAAGCAGCTGGAACTATAGGCACGTGCCACCATGCCCGGCTAATTTTTTTATCTATTGTAGAGATGAGGTCTCACCAAGTTGCCTTGGCTGGTCTGGAACCCGTGTGCTCAGGCAATCTTCTCACCTCAGCCTCCCAAGTACTGGGATTATAGGTATGAGCCACCACATCTGGCCTAGAACTATTTTTTAAATAATATTTCTAAGATGTTATTTTCATTTTCACTGTCATTATCTCCCATCTATATGGTGATCTTTCTTCCACATACCACTGCAAGGTAGGTGATTACACAGAGACAGAATGGAGAAGGAGATATGTGAATCTAGTAGTCTTCTATAACCAGACATTAGTGGTTTGCTAAAACGTAAAACACTCTTCTCACTAATTTTTTTTTTTTGGAGGGGAGCTATTTCTTAAAAACGTTTTGAGAAACATAATGGGTTTATCAATGCCATTTTAAAACAAATTAATGCTTTAAAAATTTATCAGGTTTAATTTATAATATAGAAAATTTCATAGATATAAGTCAAACAAACAAAAAGGTCATTGGGGCCTTTGATAATCGTTAAAGTGTTTACTTGAATCCTGAGAGCAACAAGTTTGAGAACCACTATGTAGACAGCAGCATACTGAACATTAAAAAAAAAAACTTGCTTTCCAAGTTTTTAATGGAGATGAGGATAAAATACAAATATCATTTACTAAGAAAAATGCAGGTGATACTTACCAAATGGGTCTTCCATGCCACTTTTAACCAGTTTAGGGAGGTGCGATATAGTTTCTAAAAAGAGAAAAAGGTAAATGATATACTTAAAACATAAAATCTATCACTTTTTATTTATTTACTTTTTTTGAGTTGGAGTCTCACTCTGTCACCCAGGCTGTAGTGAAGTGGCACGCTCATGGCCACTGCAGCCTCGACCTGATGAGCTCAGGCGATATTTCCACCTTAGCCTTCCAAGCAGCTGGGACTACAGGTGCGTGCCACCATGTCCAGTTAATTTTTTGATTTATTGTAGAGATATGGTCTCGACAAGTTGCTCAGGCTTGTCTTGAACCCCTGAACTCAGGCAATCCTCTCGCCTCTGCCTCCTAAAGTGCTGGGATTACAGGCTTGCCACCATGCCTTTTTTTAAAATCCCAATTCAGTAACACTGATTATAGTTTAAAACTGGAACATTATAGAAATGTACAACTTATTTTTTTGAGATGGGATCTTACTATGTTGTCCTGGCTAAATTCAAACTCGTGGGCTCAAGTAATCGTCTCGCCTCAGCCTCTCAAGTAGGGGGGACTACAAGCAGCTTCCAGACCTTGAACTTCGCAGCCCCAATAACTGTAAGAAATAAATTTCTTTTCTTAATAAATGACCCAGTCTGTGGTATTGCTACAGCAGCACAAAATAAACTAAGACAGAGCGAAAACAGTAACTACAATGACAATAGTATTAAACAGCTATTGCTAAGACCAATTAGTGCTCTACTAAAAGACAAAAAGATGAGAATGATGAACAGCCAAATATGAAAGCCACAGAACCCCTTGGTAACTTACAAACAGGCTCTTTTCTCCTGCAGCAGGAGGAGAGAAAAGGCTGATGACCAGGTCCAGGAATTAATAATCAAAGTAGCCCAGCTCCAAAGAAGGTTAACTGTCAACCAAGGGAGGTATGTTCTTATACCAATTTCAGGGTTCTAATTTGGAAAGAATGAGACTCTAATAGATGAGATGGAGACATTTAAGTTGATGCCCCTCCAACATCTCAGTACTCAGATACTGCTTACCTCCCTGACACTGCAAAAGGAGTTCACTATCCCTATAAGAGCTAGCATTCTCCTCCCACATAAAGATAATATAGAGCAGTGGTCCCCAGCCTTTTTGGCACCAGGGACTGGTTTCATGGAAGACAATTTTTCCACAGACCAGAGATGGGGAGGGGTTGGGAGTGGTGGGGATCATCAGGTATTAGATTCCTAATGGTCCATGGCCCAGGGACCCCTGATATATTTGCCTTCTCATCTCACCCACCAAAAACCATCCCCTCAGGATCTGCCACCATACCCCCTAGCCAGCAGGCCTTTAACTTGTAGTAAATAGGTCACAGCATAATCCAGCCCAGATGTGCTGGGCCTGATAAGATCAGAAAGGAACTGTAACCTACACGAGCTACACGACCTAGTCAGCATGTACTGTCAAGAGCCAGAGGAGTACACATGCAACCAAGCTCTGACAGTGCTTAAACATATCAGCACTTGAACAGAATATAATATTGGAAAAAAGGGAGAGGTTACCAACCATTCTCTGGACATACAGGATTTAACACCCTGGCAAAAAGCCCAGCATACAGTGTGAACTTACCACTACAATGGTAGAAGCTGGAAGAGTTCCTAGAAGCTGGAAGAGTGATAGCCCATACTAAGTGAAGTTGCAACACAATACTGCAGTGGCAAACAGGGCAGGAAGGAATTAAAAGGTTCAGGGAAGTAGGCATGCTGAAGTAGATGTATTACATCTAGTCAGAAAACCCATCAAAATATCATGTTCCTTGAAAAAGATGGGAAGATGCCACAAAAAAGTGCTAGGGAGGGGGCAATGGCATTACTAAGAAGTTTAATAGTTGTTCCTCTACAGGAGAGACTGTTACAAAACTAAGCTCCCTGATAGCAACAGCCAAGACAGGACACTGAAACAAAGGAGACCAGGTCGTGGTACTTAACTATTAAAAATGTGGACAAGCCGGGCTTGGTGGCTCAGCCTGTAATCCCGTGCCTTTGGGAGGCTGAGGTGAGTAGATTGCCTGAGCCCGCGGGTTCGAGACCCACCTGGGCAACTTAGCGAGACCTCATCTCTACAATAAATCAAAAAAATCAGCCGGGTGTGGTAGCGTGTGCCTATAGTTCCAGCTACTTGGAAGGCTGAGGCAGAAGGATCGCCAGAGCCCAGCAGGTCGAGGCTGCGGTGGCCGGGAGTGGCCACTGCACTCCAGTCTGGGCGACAGAGTGAGATTCCAACTCAAAAAAAAAAAAAAGTGTGGACAAAATTACCACAATGATCAGCAAGGTTACAGTGACAGTCAAAGAGACCTGACTCACAGAATAATGGAGACAGCTAACAGAACATGATGTCACTAGAGGAAAATAGATGAACAACCAGTAAGAGCACCCTCTATTTTAACATCAAAAGAAATGAAGGATGCAAGTTCAGGATTCTGAGGGCCTGCTACTGCAGGCACCTCAATAAAAAAAATCAGGATCCCATGTCCAGCTTCTGGACTTGAGCCCATTTCAGATCCTGAATGCACAGATTGAAGGAGGCCAGGTACCCAGGAGAAAGGATCCTAAAACACCATAGTAAAACAATTATCTGAGAAACCTGTGGGACTGAGAGACCTATGTGATCAGTAGGCCTCACAGCTCTGGTACATTTTGTAGTCACCATTTTGAAATTCCTTTAATTGTATCTGTAAATTCTGTAAGTGAAGTCTTATGGGAAAATGTAGCATGTCCTGAGGGATTGGAGCCTCAGCTCACATAAAATCACCTTCCTACCATCTTCCCAGGAAGGTCATTCACTTCATGTCCTCTCATCACTCCCTTTTCCTTCCTGGGCTGGCAGTGCCACAGTGCTTTGGTGAGCAATTCCAAGGGATCTCTCACCTACTCTCAATTTGTGTGCCCAGTATGCCTGGATTATGTAGTCGTTCTGCCTACAGCCGTTCACTCAGGTAACAGTAAACTGGGGAAAGGGGAACACTTTAATGTTTCGAAGACAGGTTGGCACTGGTACCTAGAGTCTGGAAGTGTCAACATGGACTTATAAGGATCAGAAAATAAATGAAGTCCTGGTCAATATTTAGCTCGCAGTAAGTTTCCCTCTTGATGGTAATTCCCCTGGTCCCTGAATGTAAAACTGAAATAGACATATTTGAAAATTTGTGTAATCCTCATTTTGGGTCCGTGGCCTATGAGAGAAGAGTTATCACACTGAGGATGACCAAGTAGAAGGAAGCCTCTAAAATTGTCCCACCCATCCAACAAAATAATAACTACAAAACAAAATAATATTATATCTCGGGGGTGTAGGAGGAGGGGAAGTAGCAGAAATTAGTGCCACAATCCTAAAGGATACAGGATTCACCAGAGTAGACCCCGTGAAACCAGACAAATCCTGGAAGAAGGTAGCAAATTACTGCAAACTTAATCTAATAGTAATAGGCTATTACTTAATCTAATCTAATAGTCACAACTATAGCTGCCGAGTCAGATGTGGTATCTTTGTTACAACAGATTAGCACAGGCTCAGAAGCATGGTAGGCAGTCAGTGACCGGAGGAGTAAGTTCTTTTTTATCACTAGCAGAAAACAGAATCAGAAACAATTCACATGTATATGGAACAGAATATAGCATATACAGACAGCACCAAAAAATGTATATACTTTTTTTTTTGAGTCAGAGTCTCACTCTGTCACCCAGGCTGGAGTGCAGTGGCATGCTCACGGCTACTGCAGGCTTGAACTGCTAGACTCAGGTGCTCCTTCCACCTAAGTCTTCCAAGTAGCTGGAACTACAGATGAGTGCCACCACACCTGGCTAATTTTTTGTTTTATTGTAGAGATGAGGTCTCACTACAGCCCAGGCTGGTCTCAAACCTGTGGGCTTAAACAATCCTCTCACCTCTGTTTCCCAAAGTGCTGGAATTATAAGCATGAGCCACCGTGCCAGGTTCTACACATTTTAAGAAAGGAAAAAACTGTATTAAAATTCTAATACTCAATATATACTGATAACAAAAGATGAATACAAGTCACATTTGACCTCTGCAATTAAAAGAGGTACTCAAAGTGGTTACCATCAGCATCCAGACACTTCTGATTATAGTGATCTACTGTAGGACTTGTTACTATGCAAGGCCTCCCAGACCTTCTCTTGTGCACATCATACACAGTACCATGCATCTCAAGCTTATCATGAATGCTTGCAATTGTAAAGCAAGTTGGAGGTTCTGTTGCATACTCACACCTCCATTGTCACTGCACTTCCACAACGTTCTCAAATTTCAAATACCACTTCAAAATGATCTTGCACTTCTCAAATGATGACTGTGTTTCTGCCATTTTCTTTGACTATCCTGCCTGATGCATAGTGACGCTAGTATTCATTTGAATAAAGTCATCTTTTGGTGGATGGCTTCCTTGTTACCGTTCTGCCCACTGTTCTTTTGCAGAGTATTCAATAAATCTGTTTTTCGACTCTAAAAAAATAAAAAATAAAATAAAATAAACCCACCTTTTGAGCGAACATCATACTACACATTGCTGTCATAATTCAATTAAACTTCGAAAAGTAATCCATAGATAACATCTCTTTAAATGTATATACATTTTTTTGGCACCACGGTATTTACAGGACTATGTCAATTTTGCCACTTTTGGACTTTGGTATAATATAGTCCTAAGAGATATGGATCATTTGGACTTCTTGTAGAATGTCACACTGAGTCACTATATTAATAATATCATGCTAATTAGGCCAGATGAGCAAGAGATGGATAGCACATTGGCGGTCTTGCCAAGATACACATTTCCCAGAAGTTGAGAGAGGAATGCTACAAAGACTCAGGTAACTATTATATCACTGAAATTTTTAGAGGCCCAGTTGTTAGGGACATGATAAGACATGACATTCAAATAAAGGCAAACAAGTAAATTATTCTATCTTCCACCAAGAAGAGGGAAGTATAACACCTAAGAACACAGCTCAGACTTTTATACTGGGTGACACAAGA